GTCATAGTGGCAAGACTCACAAAAAGAGAAATGTAAACAAAAATATGAGATTAAAGAATAATTCAGCAAACTGAACTATTTCATGCACAGATAATAAAAAATAGAGGCAGTGTTCATTCCCACTGAAGTCAATGAGTAATTATTATTGATCTGGATTGGGTAGAGCTATCCTGCAGTAAATTCCCAAGATGAACAAAAACTTATTGCACAACCATTAAAATGTTTTCCTCAGCTATTAATTTCCGAGCAAAAGCAGTAATGGAAAAGAGAAACAACCCAAAGAAAGGGTTAAATTACCAGTAGACAGAACAGGTGACATTTCTTCTTTCTGCCTGGGAGATCACATACTGAAGAAAGCTTCTGGATCCGAGTTTTTCTGGGCAGGTACAGAAAGCTGTATTTTTCACAGATGAGAAGCAGATGTCTATAAACCAAGAGTTTACTGCTTTGTGTCCCTGTCTGTGCATTCAGAGATGGGGAAGAGAAATTGTTGAACGTTGCCACTTGGACAAGAAACCAAGGCCATTGGAGTGGGGATCTGCAAATCAGGTCACTGTTTAGGCTGATTTAGGCAGGAATGTGCCTGCCATTGAAACAAAGCAGCTGTGCTTCTCCTACCAGCAGCACATGTGGGGAGAGAAGGAGCTTTTGTGATCCCTAACCAAGGGAATCTATGGGTAACCATCAATCCTGCCTGAAGCAGGGGAGAAGCAAGTTCATCCAGCACACTGCAGGAATGGAAATGCTTCCCAGAGCTCTGACAGAATTGCTGGACAAGCAGCTAAATTTCTTCCCAGAAACTGCTCTGGTGACAATGCAATACCTTCTGGCTCCCTTCAGCCCACCTCTTGCAATAAATGTCAGCCTGCAGCCGTATTGGGCATAATTAGCCTATGATAATAAATTACCCACATTTTCAGGAAAATATTAGAGACCATCATTATTTGGAATAGAGCTGCATTCAGCTGCACAACCCTACCTAATATGATGGATGGAGTAGTCATAGCACTGAATACATTTATCTAGAATGAAGTGATTATTTCGAAGATGAACACAGTCAGATCTAAGTGCATATGAATCATACACTAGTGCACACTGGAGAGTAGCAGAGTAGCAGGGGTTGTAGGTCAGCTGACCAGCCCATAGCTTTTAGTTGGTAGATTATTTCACACATCTACCCCAGGATTTTACAGCTCAGTCTCAAAATCCCTCTGAATTTAAAAATGATTCCATGTTTTCTCTTGGAAAGGAAAAAAAAAAAAAAAAAGATATGGGAATGGATTTTTTTTCTCCTACCTTAGAGATGATCTTTGGTGTTATTTGACTTTACTGCCTGCCCACAGATATTGCCCAAAATACCTCAGGCAAGCATATTGTTAATATAACTTTGCTAACACCTAGTTATTCTAAAAAAAAATAAAATTAAGGACATGTGAGAACTCACTCATGTCCAAGTGACTGCAGGACAAAAGTGGAGTCATTACAGTAGAAGAGTTATTAGCACTACAACAAAATAATGCTTTCCTTTCTGACTCGTTTTAATTCCCAGCAACATTTTTTTGTTATTTTCCAATCATTTTAATGAAGTAAAGAAAGTCATCCAGGATCATGGACAAGGCTCACAACTCTGTTCTGTAGCAGTACCCTGGCACTGGCAGCACCCTGAGGTTTTTCCCCATGTCTTCTGATAGTTGGCATAGCTGTGCCGGAAGGGAGGCTCCCTTCTCAGGGCCTGGGGTCTGCAAAAGACTCTGAACAAAGTCAGATGCTTTGAACAGAGTACTGGAATAGGCAGCTATATGTAGATTTGCCTTTCCAAAATGCTGCAGCATAAATATAATTTTTGCACTTTTCTCTGAATTATGAGCATACTTGTTTTATGCATTTGAAACAACAAATGGACACATCGGGCAAAGGGACTATACCTTGCAATTCAAGCAAAAATGAAGTTCAGTGAATTTTTAGTTGTATTCCATGTTACCATCATCATCATCTCTGGAAGAGATGGTGTTTTTCCTTCCCTCAATCTGCCCCAGTAACAAAACAAAAAAAATTTACCTGCAGAATCCATGTCTAGATTTCTGCAAACTCAGGTGTTACAGTCAGTCTGTGGTAAAGCTTGTTTACCAGCAGTTCTAACCATGCAACCTCTCCAACTGTGAAAAACTAATAAATTGACCTCTTTGTGACTCAGACTAGTGAAAGCATCTGTTTGGATAAGAAAACCAAAAGTGATTTTTTAAAAGCTGAAGTTATCTGCTGTTAGACATATTTAAGATGAGTTACCACTACACATATGGCTGCTTGCTTTATTTTAGATTTATTGTATTTCTTGATAGGTCATCTGTTAAATATATTTATTACAACAGGCATCCATCCTAACATCTAAATGCCGTGTTCATTGTAAATCAGAATTTTAGGCTAGTTTCTGAACATGGTACCATTAATATGCTAGAGCCAAGTCACAACCATTGAAAACAATATTATAATTTCATAGGGTTTGATGCAAATGGATATTTCTTTGCATATAAGTGTTTTCTATAAGAAACGAAGTAGAACTTTTTTTTGAGATTTCTCTGGAATAGTTCATTGTTTTAAACCATGGAGCTATTTGAAGGTAGGAACCAGTACTACTCCCAGATTGTAAATAATTGTAAATATTGAATATTTCAAACCTACTATAAATTCAGAGATGTTTAAACATTTTAGGATAATCTGAATATTTATTTTCAAATGTTTAACACATTTAGGAAGAACTGAAGCACCTGAAGCTCTTTAATAATGCTTGCTGAAGGTGGCGTGCCTGTAAAATCATAAAGCAGCATGACCCATGTAAAAAAAATTAAATTGAGTGAACAGGGAGCAGCCTTCTATGGCTCAGTCCATATTCAGGAGCTGCAATGCGTGAAGGAAACACTCATATTGCATCTAATTTTTGAGCCATCACAGAACAGCCTGCTACTTCTCCTTTGGATGGAAAGTTGGTACCAAGAGCTGAGTAAGTCTCTTGCTCTCCTGCACTCAGCTGCCTACACAGAGCCCCAATGCATTGCTTCAGAGTTAGTGTTCAACCCAGACAGGGCACTGCCACAGCATCTCTGATGCTCATAGGGACAAAAATTCCCTCTCTTCTCTCTGTCCTGTGAGAGCAGGGTCTCTCCAGCTCTCCTCTCTTTCACCAGCTGATGACTTAGGACTCATCTCCAACATGAATAGGCAATAATGGAAAAAATATTTTGTCTGTTTTGTTAGTGCTTTGGGTTCTCACCTGCACATGGTCGGAAAAGAAGAGATTTCCAGGTATCTTTACTCTTGCTGTGGAGGTATTTCACTCACAGTTTGTCTGTTCACACGAAGAAGGCAGAAAAGGGACACCTTTCCATAGTCAGGCTTGTTTCCTCATATTTCCTGGTCAGTGGAGAAGAAAATTAATTCAAGATTGAGGGGCTGAAGAACAGGAGAGAGAAAAAGAACAGAATAAGAAAAAGAAAAATAGTGAACTTTTTGTTTCCTCTTTGGTTCTTTTGTATATTTCATTGGCCTTTTACTGTAAAATTGGTATTTTCAGGTATGAAATGCCCCAGTCTAGGTGAAAATTAATTGAAACTTCTTACCTCTTCAGAAACAGGCTGCTCCAGCATGGGTCACTTACCAGGTCAGTAAGTGTTGCCAGCAAATCTGCTCCTGTGTTGGCTGCTCTCTCCACAGGTGCTGCCAGGAGCCTGCTCCAGCCTGGCCTTCCTCCATTCTCCTTCAGGATCCAGCTGCCCCAGGGTGGGGCTCTCCAGGGGCTGCAGGGGAATCTGCCTGGAGAACCCTCTCTCTCCTCCCCTTTGCTGCCCTGGCTGCCTGCAGAGCTGATCCTCTCACATATTCTCACTCCTCTCTTCTTTGGCTGCAATTGCCCCCAAGCAATAACTTCTTTTTCTGCCTTAAATCCCAGAGGTGCTGCTGCCATCTCGGGTGGGCTCAGCCTTGGCCAGTGGATCTCTCTTGGAGCCAGCTGGCCTTGGCTTCACTGGGTACAGAGAAGGTTCTAGCAGCTTCTCACAGGAGCCACCTCTATAGCCCCCCACTACACAAACCTTGCCACACAAACCCAGGAGAATTTCCTAAATGCAGTTTACCTAACCCACATTTGCACCCTTACTGAACAGACACATACTTGCAAATTTTTATGCTGCAATAATTTCATTACTAGAACCTGCTGGTTAGAAGGAAGAGGTTGCTAGTTAGCAACACTAACCAATACCTTCCCTGTCAAGGTAGAATTAAGCTGACATATTTCTTTAAGTGTTAAAAAAACCCTTCCTTTATAAATTTCATAAAACAAACTGAAATATGAAATAGAGATGTAATGATCATCTGCTTTGCTTTTCTGATAGGAGTTTGACTCAAATCCCAAACCTCTAAAGGTATAAGACAAATAGGAGACTTGTTCAAATTAATTTGCTAAAAGAACAGGTAATGATGAAAATTATCCCCACATTTGATGACAGGGAAGCCTGTGGTCATGCACACCCAGTCACCCACGCATCCTGTCACAGAAAACAAAGGATGCATATCAGAACTGAATTGCTAGGAAACCACTGCATAAGAGCTATTCATATATTCACAGGTAAATTAATTAGTAAATAAGCAGCAGCTTATATGAAGTGGCTGCATCCTCAGCAAACTTACAAAGCCACCAGAGGCAGCAGGTCAAAAACATTTTTTTCCCATTGTCATTCTGCAGGTATGAAGCAATTATTCAATGTAATGCACTAAATACAGGGTCAAGCTTTTTCCACAAAAGACAATGTCAAAACTTCAATTGACTGCAATAGGAACAGAAATGGGCATTGAGCAGGCAGGCAGACTTTTCTCCATCTCCACTAAGACACACAATTTCTTAATACATTCTTTATAATCTTTCTCAAAAGCTGTAAGTGTTCCATGAGATTTTTCCTCCAAAATATTTGTCTAATCTTTGGACATTTATTACTTAGAGATTGCTAAATATATAGTTGAATTTTCAGCTTACTTCTTTGGGAAGATGTCTTCAACTTCTCTGTGGTTTTGGCTATGTTTGTACTGTTGAACCCCTGGGAAGTGTGTTTTGAATTGTCTTTCTTTTTTTTTCCTCCTCCTCTCACCAGCCAGAAGGTGGCCAGAATTCACCTTCACCCCAGTCAAACTACTCAGAGACCTGTTGCTTTGGATTAGTCACAACTGAACAAGAATTTTTACAAGAAATTACATGGAACTGAATTTCATCTCTGTCAGTGTTCCAGATCTCTCTCATTGAGACAGGGATAAGCCCTTACATGTGATGTTAGTTTAAGCAAATCTACACATAATTTTCTCCTTTTTTTTCTTCTGTCATAATTTTTGCCTTTCATAAACATTTGTAAACTACGTTTTCAAGTTTTTGATTTTTACAAATCTATGCTATTTGATTCATTTTACCTTTACCTCGGTTTGAGTTACGTGAGTTTAGAAAAGTGAAGAACAGCAAGACCTGAGAGCACCTTTGGCATGGGTGTCCTTCCCAGCCTCCAGCAATTGATTGTGTGGGAGTTCCATGAGCTGGAGGATGATCCCAGTCCATTGCTCTTAATAACTGCTGCTGAGCCCTCCCACAACCTTCTCTAATCCATCTTGGTTTTCAGCCTCCATAACATCACAAAACTTTGAATTCCAGCCAAAGGATCCCTTGTTGTGTGTCCTGTTTCCTTTCACTTTTACTCAAGGCATCTTGAGATCATCACTGGCTCAGAGGCATTAAAAATACCAGGGTTTTGCCTAATCCAGTATTGCAGCAATTGTTATGGCAATACAAGCACTTGAACATCATGCTCCTGAAAGACAAAGTTGTGCAATTTATTTATATTATTTTGTTATCTTTGTACCTTCTGTATAAAAACATTCATGCCACAACAGGGATTTTTTAAAAAGGCAATACATTTCACAATTTTAAACCATCTGCTGTATTTCTTGCTAATTCAAGTTTTTAGCAAATTCTGTGTTTTCACAAATGCAAGCAAATTTCTGGCTGCTCTCATGGAAGTACTTATTTTATTGGACTTTCCTAATTCCTACTTGATTCCTTATTTAATCATGAGAACAGCAAGTTTCATGACCACTCCTACCATAAAATTCTTCCCATGCTCTTTCCCAAAGAATATGCAAGAGAGAAAATCAGGATCAAGGGTAGCTCACAGTTAAATGCGACTAAGGCCACAAAATATTGTTACATTATTCACTCACTATGTAAAATTCCTATGTAAATGTCACAGAAAAGGGGTCACACACAATTACATCTGATCCTTCAGACAAGAATTAAGGAAGTTTTAGTCATCATTCCAAAACAGCTTCTCAACCACATTAGTACATCATCAAAAAACCTCAGTCCTAATGCCACATTTGTTCTCATTTGCTATCAAGAACCATAAGAAAGAAGTAAAGCATCCCTCAGATGTGCAAGTATTTCTACCTCAAAATAAACTGCATTACTGTGTTTGTCATGGGCTTGGAGATAAGGATACACCCCAAATTTCTACAATCCTCAAACATACTTCCCCAAATTCAGGGGAAACCTTCCCTTTAGTTTAAGATCGTGGAGATTTAGTGCAGCAATGAAGCCTCCCCCAACGCCAGCCTTAGCTCAACCCCTTCCATTCAGACTGGCACTGCTTAGTCTACAGAGCTGTTCAAGACAGCTCCTGGCTCAGGAGCTCATCCTTACCAAACTCCCAAAGCTTCCAACCTTGGTGTAATGCTCTAGAAATTACTTGCTAACAAGGATTGGTCTAAATAAATTAAAAAAAAAAAAAAACAAATGGTAAAAATCTAAGGTAGCAGCATGCACACATACATCAACATCCGTGAAAAAAATCAAAGCATGAATGCACAAAAATGCAAACAACCTTCCTCCAGAAAATGGGTCCTGTTCTCAAAGTTTGCATTTCTGTCACAAATGCACAAACAAAGCATCACTTGCTAACCATGGTGTTTGAAGAATGTGCCTCTTGCTTCTCTTTTACAGCATTTCCAGCCCAGCCTTTTTGTCTGTGGAGATAGGCTAATATGTAAATGCTTCCACAGTTTCTTCAAAACAAAAAAGAGGTCCTGGGAATTGAAATTCTATTTATATTTATCATAACTTGATGAGATAGAGTGTGTTTATTTAAATACCCTACCATTATTTCTTCTTAACAACAGGCAGCTCTGAAGTGCAGTTATAAGTCTGTTTACACCACACAGAAATCAAATTGACTTGCTAATGGTAACTTTTATTCGGTATCCATGGGTTACTGTGTCATGTGATTTGACATCAAGTACAGACAGTGCTGATTAGTAGCATCCAGTTCTGTCCATCTCTGTGCATCACTGAACCATCTGGTCATTTATTCACTAATAAGCCCCTAATGGCCCAAATATTCACCGGCCTGTCATTGTGACATGGCATAAAATGCCTACATCTTTCAACTTGCTTTGACATGTTGCTTGTTTCACATCAAAACCCGTCATTTACAGGAAAAGAGCTCAGAGGGGTAAAAACTTGACCTAATCTGCAGTGTTAACACAAAGACAGAGGCTTTGTTATCTGGTAGCCTGACTGAAAGCATGTAAATGGGCATGAATTCATTTTGTACATTTTTCCATGCTCATTTTACAACATTCTTTAAGTTTGGTATCATTCCTAATATTGGTTTTTATGTGGGTTTTGCTGTGAAATCTCTTTTCTTTATCTGTTAATATCCTTAGGAGTGCTTTAAAGGGAGCTGGATTTCCAGAGATGTTTGTCAGTTTTCTATATGGAAAATATGCATCAATGGGAAAATTACAGGCAGCCACAGAAGTTTTCTAAACCCTTCTATTAAAGATTAGCATGATTAATAATTCTACTCTGTTTTTTTTTTTAATCTTTGCCTAGATAGCAACAGCCAGTGTATTACTTTCTGCCCTAAAGGATGAGACGCAATAATTATTTCCAGTTTAGTGTGTTAGAGTTTGCAGAATTGTTGTGGATGAGAAGAATCCCGCAGTATATAATTGCATAGCACGTTATTAACTTAAGTCATGAATACTCAGTAACTGAAAAATCTCCCTCTTCATTCCCATCATGCAAAATTGCTGCAGAAGAAGGAGGTCACAATCAATGCTTTATTTTTTTCTTAATCTTACTGGATATGGCCACAGTTAAAATAGTTTAAAAAAAGCAAACACCCATTAAACTAATTGCTGTTGAAATCTTGGTTAATACATCATTAAAATGTGATTAAAGCATGATGTAATTGATTGTAACTAGAACACTTAGGGTGGTTTTATTGCTCTGCAGCCATTGGTGTGATGGGACACATAATTCACCCAGTATGTTAGCTTCACTCGCTGTGTGCCTCTATGGGCACACTGGCTCCTTGAAGCAAGCATTCCCTGCTCCACAAAAACTTCCATTGTGTCCCCTTCTGGCTCTTACACTGGTTGTAAAGTGATAAGTAAAGCAAAAATAGCAATATATTACCATGTCAGATTTGCCTCTCTTTTTTTTTTTAATAGCTGTAGTGTTTTAAATTTTCTATTCTTTTCCCTTTTTTTTGTGTGCATGTTGCCAGTGGTAGCTCCTGTTAACGACATGAACATCATCCAGGATAAGTCCTCTGGCTGTGCCTGCTAGTAAATTTTATCAGAGAAATCAAGTCAGCTAATGAATCTATCTGAATGTTGGCATCTCCATGCTGAGACTCAATCAAGTTTAAATTTCATTTAATATTAGTTAGTTTACAATACTTACAAGTCAGATCCTTAAGCAGGTCTTAGGACACATACACAGAATTTAGTTTACGCATTCAAATGTTTCTATATTTTGATTATTCACTTCACCAATCCTTGCTGCACAATGTGATCCTCAAGGGCATCAATAAACACATTCACTCCTGTCTTATAAGCTTGAGAATACCTTTTGCACTTACTCAGAGCCCTCAAACCTTAAGAGGGCTGAAAACCAGCAGTGTTTTGTGAAAATATTGAGGTTTTGAAACTATTCTCTATTCAACACTAAAATAAACTCTAACAAAACCCAAGTCAATCAAGATGAGAACTGATAACTGACTCCCTAAATGGGCATCTCATTCAAATGGCTGTTAATTTCTCTTCCTCTAACAAAAAAAAAAAAAAAAAAAAAAAAATCCCATTTGATAATACCTGGAAAACCTTTTTGGCAAAATTTAATCAAAGAAAAAAATTCTATTAACCAAAAAAAAATCTGTTTTGATGACCTGTCAACTTCTGATAGAAAAATCAGTTTTGTCAACAACACAAACGTTGATCAATTCAGGATACATTGGATACATTCCCCTTTGTGCCAGTTGGACTTAGTACCTAAATACTAAACGTGGGTTCTCAGATCCTTGTAGGATTTGGGTTTTGGTTACAACCTTTTTAATGTACTGAGCACTCTCAAATCAGCACTTAAAATGTTAAATAATGGTAAATATATCTACTGAGTACAAGCAACATCTGGAGAGTCATTCCTTTGCATCTTAGGTTTTTCAGATTTTAAAAATAAAGTAAATTCATGTTGGCTAAAAATTGTCATTTTAGCTATTTCGGTCTTACTGACACTTCCAAAAAACTTTCACAATTTGAATTTTTTTTAGACACTGAGCCTTTGAAATTGTTTTTAATTTTAATTATTTTAAATTTAGTTGAAATAAAAGTGATTATTTGAAATAAATCAGAAATTATAAATACATTTTTTTTTTTTAGTTAGGTACATTATTGAAGTGAACCAGATTGCTATTGAAAAAAAAAATTATAATGTTGAGTAAAAGAATTAATTTTAGCTACTGCCATGACCCTGATGTCTCTCAGGGAAGATGTTCTGTTTGTCTAATGGGCAGTGTCTCAGAAAAATTTCAGTTCTGCTCAGTGCCTAATAAGCCTGGGCTTACCAGCAGCTCTCATGGAATAGTGCTGGTGGAATGGGAAATAGAAAGGGGTGTTGTTTACTGCTGTGATTTAGGGGAAAACTTCCTCAGAAGAGTTACGCTGCTCAGTCTGGAATAATGTTTTTTTCAGGAAGATACATGGCACAGAATATATGAAATGCATCTTGAACACTGTGTTTTTTCCTTATTACAAGATTTGCAAAAAACTTTAATGATGTTGTTAGTAGCAGGAATGCAGACACAAATGGCACATTTTTTAAACTAAAAAGGCATGATTCATCTGAACAAGTGTAAATGTGTCATGCAGTGACAGTCGTAGGTATTGGGTGGTAAAATCTGCAATCATCAGCTGCCTTATTTTGAATACATAACACAAAATATTTGATCCTATTTTTAACTATATAAATGCAATATCATATTTCTGATGTGCAGTTAATAGTAGAAAGCTAACTGTGTACATATTGATAATATATAAGCATTTCACTTATGGGGCCATGACTTCAGCAATGTCCCTTTGAATCAGAATTAGAAAGAGACAGCACCACTTATTTTTTTAAAAACAAAACAAAACAGAAATAAACCAAATTCTTGGCCACTGCTAAAACTCAAAAGCTGTACTTTTACAGGAAAAGGTGTTTTTAATTGCTGATGTACTACACTTACCAGACACAAGTGGATGCATCCTCAAGGTGGCCATTTGAGAAGCCAATTAATAAGTATCTAAAAAAAATCTTACCATCACAATCTAAAATACAAGATTGCATTTATATTGCACTGTTAAACCAAAGATCATACAATAGTAAAAATAGGAGTAGATGCTATTAATAAATTTAAAGCAGGTGAAAAATATTACATCTGAGCAGACGAGAAAGGAGAGAAAAAACCTGCAAGTCCAGTCAGTAGCACTG